TTTTTCAATTAAATACTGTCCACTCCAAAAATGTTTGCTTTCCTTGATTATTTATTTTCATACCCATATACTCATTATGTATGGTGTTCTTAAATAAAACTGCAATGTACACAAGTATGTATAATAATAATAATAATAATGGGAGGATCAAAAAGATCTTTGCATGCAAAAAAATTAACTTGCACAGAAACAGAATGACTCAAATGCTTGTGTAAACCAAGAAATAAAGTCTTTATTATAGACAAGTAAAATATATATAACAATGGCTGGCTTCTCAGGTACAGTTAGAATAATCTGGCTACAGAGGTAGAAAGAGGATTTGTACTCTCAAGAGATGAGACTGCAGGTCTGTGTCTCAAAAAAACAAAAAAAAAAAAAGGTAAGGATTGTGTCCACCATGCTGTTATGTCGGGTCAAAGTTCTACTATGGTGTCCAACAATTCTAGATTGTCTACATTGGTGATTATTTCCAATTTCATTCATATAAAATTAATCCCTAGCTCATACTAAATTGTACAAGCCTCTGTACCAGCTCTCACTTGTGTACAGTCCACACCCTAAGGGAGCAGTGATACAAAAGCATGGCCAAATAAGTATAAGCTTTGTGGAATAGCCATTTTGGTATATAACTTTAAACAAAGGTGATAATTAATACAAGTTCAGGACTTCTTCCATTCTATTCACAAGAACACTAACCACATGAAATCTGCTTGAAAAAAATTACTAGAATGGATAAACATATATTTTTTTCTAGTTTTAAAAGGTAAAGATAAAGCAATTTTCTATTGTACATACGCAATAAATTTTTGGTAGAAAATTTGTGTAAACATCATAAAATTAAGTTTATACAGATATATATATATATATACACAAGGTGATTATATAAGTTTTCTAATTCAGCACACCATATCTCACAAACAGTTTGGCATAGGAAGGTGAAATAGCACATCCCTGTATAAGAGTATCATGCATAGAGAAATGCCTCAGTTTTCACTCTGGGTATTGCTGTGACCTAACATCTGATCAATCACAGCAACTATTCAAAATGTACTCCTTAGCATGGAAACTACAAGCACAATGTGCATCTCCTCCAGTAAAGTGGTCACTTCCCAGACAATTGCATCCTTGTAATGTGGAATTGTGTGAGGCTTCCTACTGTACTTGTGACTTCAGGTAACTCCACAACAAAAAAATCAGCTGGTATTATGTCTGTTAAATGAGGTGGACCTTTACAAGAAGAGTGACATAAAATTATTTTGTCCTGAAAATTCTCCAGCAAGACAACTTTAACCTGTTTAGCAATATGTTGAAGGGCACCATCCTGCATGAAAACTGTAATGTCTATTTTTCATTGCCACAGCATGATAATTATATTGGTTGTGAGCATCGCACTGCATAGTTCTACAAAAACATATGATCCAATGACAAAAGACAGCTGTGAAACCATACCACATTGTCACCTCAACATCGTAGAAGTGTGTACAAAATGTTACATGTGAATTGGTTTCCAGCTATATAATGTAGTCATGCATATTGACACTTCCAGGAAGGGTGAAGTGTTCTTCATCAGTCTGTAAGATATTTGCAGGCCATTGGTCATCAACTTTCATGCTTACCAAGAACTGCAACTCAAAATTAACATTTTGGCTTATATCTGCCTCCTTCAGTACTTCAACATGATGCAGATTACAAGGAAACATTTGCAAAGTTAATCAAAGAACCCTACAAACAGTTAAAATTGGCAAATCCAGACACTGGGTGACATATCATGTACTCCTGCATGCATGTGCACCTGTTGTGCTGGTTTGTTTTGCTATAGCATAGCTGACATCAGCAATAGTTTTAGTAGGTATCAATGGTTTGCCTATATGTGGCTTATCACAAGTGTATCTGTCTCAAGTTTTTTTAATGAACTTGCACATAGCAATGTTGAAACAAGGCCCTCTGCAGATGTTATGCATTTGACATTATTACCTGAGAGCTGCCTTGGCATTTTTGGAGTAATAACTTTTCACTAGTTCCTCTCTGTGCCTACTTGTTGGTTTCATATTTGTTGAATGAGCTGCATTGCAATTGACAGGTCCATTTATACTCAGTAGAAGTTTGCAATAGAAACCACAATGGCACCTATGGTGGCAACATGTGACAACTATGGCACTTGCATCTGCATGATATCCTTAACACCCTTGAGCAATTTCACCTTAGTATGCCATACCATTTACAAGATATGACTCACTGAACTACAAAACTCCTTGTAATGACTCTGTATAATTCGTTTATTTCACACAAAAAAACTGGCATATTATTCTAATGGTTATGTACTTTGTTTTCAATAACAAGATATTTTTCCTCTTTCACAAATGAAACAATTGTCTCAAATAATATATGAAATATCTAACCTGGGTTAGCACTGTTATCTATCTAGACAAGCTTTGAAAGGTTATACTTTGTTTTTTATTTAAAACGTAATTTAGATTTCTCAGAGAATATGCAAAGTAATTAGTCAAAAAGTCAAGCTTTAGCATAATATTTGTCAAATAAGCATAATCTCAGCACCTCAAAAAAATAATAAGGGTTTTGTTATCTAACATGAATTAACTTATAGAAATGAATAAAAACCCTATAACGAAGTGCTTTTGAAAGATAGACCTTTCGAAAGCGCTTGTGTTATAGGGTTTTTATTCATTTCTATCAAGACTTCTTGAACCTATGTGTTTTCTAACATCATGAATGAATTAACTTATTTCATGATTCAAAGAAAATGTATAATTGTAATTTTTTTCCTAATATGGGAAATGGTATATTTGAGTCAAATATTTTAGATTTGCAGTATAAGTTAAGTGCACTAAGTCAAACAATACATACAGTGTATGAAAAAGATATGCCCAACCTTGACTTTCACTAATCATATAGTTAAGCCTGTCTCACATGACAGAAGATTAGTCAAGAGATATAGGCTTGCCTTGAATAACTCGGCTAGTCTACTGGAAGGATATTGAAGGACTGTGTTCTATCTTTTCTTTCAATGAAACTCGTGTAATGAATTATGTGATCTGGCTTTCTGGGAAACTTAGTATTCAGATTAGTTATTATGAACATACATGCTGTGCATAGAGTTAAGTTGGCTTTGGCTGATATGAGCACCTGTTTTTATGTTATCAATAAAATCGTTTTATTTCAGTCCAGCTTGATTTATTCATACCAATCGTACAAATTCGGAGAGCTTGTTTTTATAGGCTTAATACGTAACTGTTGATTCAGTTTTACCTAAAAATACTATAATTGTATTGTTTTATAATTTCATTTTCATATTTATTATCACTAGTACAATTTAATTTTAAAATTTTAATTCTCTTCTAGCTCGCAGATGAAATAATCAAAAAGAAAGAGAAAAACTGAAAGACAATTCTGGAACAGAATTAATATATATAAGCATTACCAATATATAATTTTGAGACTCAAATGTAAATTAAAGTTGCTAGTTGTTGTTACATGGTATTTCAAAAAACACTTGGTACCAACAGGCAGTTATTTAATCTGCTAAACAGCAGATTCAAAAGAATTTGTATGCAGTGAGTGAAATAAATTTGATTCCTGAAGTAAGTGAGACAGAACAGAAATTCTTCACTAGAGACAGACATTTTTATTGTAGTTGACAATACTAGTACCACACTATTAGTTTGGTCAGTAATTGTGTTGGCTGGAATGATATTTCAGATTGCCTTGTGATCAATGAATAGGTTCATCAGTAGTCTAATTTGTTTGAATAATGTTTTATTATTTAATTGAATTCCAACACATCTGGAACTTCTTATTGTAGAAGTAAAGAAAAAATTTTCAAAAAAAAGGAAGTAAATGTAGTGATGGCTAATATCACTCCTTCAAAAACAATGCAAGCAAGATAGTAGAGATAGCATTTGCATCATCCCTACATAATAACAGAGGCACACAGCGTAGTAGAATGTTAACAGACAAAAAAAAAGATAAATTAAACTTGCTTGTGATTGAATAGTTATATATATATATTGCCATATGTTAATTCTTACCTGTGCTATTATGTATGGATGGTGCAAATGCCATCCCTACTATCTTGTTTGCATTGTTTTTGAAAGATTGATATTAGCCATCCGTACATTTACTTCCTTTTTTGAAAAGTGTTTTCTTTATTTGTTTGCTTTTTTTTAATGCAGTG